TTGAGTTTACTTTGCTAGACAAGTAACCCGTATGATAGTATGCATGCAGGCAATAAAACCAGCAAAATATGAACATATACAGAAAGAAAGAAACGTTTCGTGTTTCAAACGCATGACTTACTCCACTTTAATCTAATGATTTGATTCATTTAACTGGAGATGAAAGTTCGCGTAAATAAAGCGTTTACATAAATAATAAATTGAATTGTGTCCCGATCAATTCTCTTGTGTCCCGGCCGTTTGTTTGTTATAACCAGTTGCATATTATATGCCTTTGTTTACTGAAACTGCAATGAACATTTGCCTACAAAGATACGTTTTTCATTGCCACTCGCAAAACCCCAAAGAGCATTTTTAATTTTAATAGAATTACTAGTATTTTGATAAAATGATTTTTAAATAAGAGAAGAATACCATGCATTTGAAGTCCATCACAAAAAAAAAACAATACTCGTGTTAATACAAATCTTTATTGTTTAATTTTCAATGTTTGAGCGATTTAATACAACTTTCCCCTTAACACATGCACATTTAGTGACGACTAAATAAAACAAGGTACTCTGAAAGGCAGCTAAATCCCCTTCTGCAGCTGAAATGATCTTGACTTTTACCCAACCATAACATTGATGTATACCATGCACATTATAAGCAAGTAATTATTTGTGCCAAGTTATTTGAAGTCTTCCATAAAGTATAAAAGTTATGGAAAACATTTAACCTTGACCTTGCGGATAGCAACCTGGAAGTTGGGTTCTGCACATCATGTCATTATAGTGATCATTTCTGCCAAATAGTCTTAAAAACATTACAAAGGTTTAAATGTTATGAATAATCATGAAATGTAGATTTTTTAACAATTGACCTTGACCTTGGAGGTAGCAACCCAGTTATTGCGCTCCGCACAACGTCTCATAATGGTGATCACTTGTGCCAAGTTATAAAAAAGATTCAATAGTTTAAAAGTTATGGAGCGGACACGAAAGTGTTACAGACGGACTGACAGACGGACGGACAGGCAGACGGACTGACAGTCGGAGGCCATTCCTACAATCCTCTCCCTCACCGCTATGCGAAAGGGGATAAAAAATCTTATTTTTTAACAAATAGATACGTATATACGTTTATCACATAAACCGCGGCGCGGGAGTGTAATAATACCATTAAATAAAAACGATATTACACTAGTGTAATAACACTTTGAAGTGACGTCAGTTGCGCTATATAGAAACATAGCGCTTAAGCACGCTAATGTTAGCGTTACACTGTTCTTATTTTATATATGTGATAAATAGAATATCATGGAATATTATATTCGTGTAGAATCAATACTAAATTTATTTAACTACACTCATTCAATATCCTCTATGTATGCTATTTAAATGTAATGCTACACCCAAGTTATAAGTATCGTCGCTTGAAAAACGTTTTGTTCTAAGTGCCAATTTGTTGTTTTTGAGAAAAAAGCATGTAAAGATTTAGTATTGCATAACTTTTTTATTTATTGTCGGATTTTGAAAATTTAAAAACTACTAAACGTGGAGTCGGGAGAACAACTCAATAACGTTAAAGATATGTGGATTTTAATATTTCCTTGCTTAAAAACCTAAAAAAAACATTTGGAGATAGAACAGTCCTTGTAACTTTTTTTCAAAAATTGTTAAAATCAGAGTGTTCAATGTGACTTAGAACATTATGTCTTTTAAGTTGAATTGATTTATATAATATAAAACAGTATGTTTTATCTTTAAAAGGCTGCCAAAAATGCTCTCGGCTAATTATCACTTGATTAGTTGACTGTGACACTACACTATTTCTTAGACCATATGTATCTAACTATATGAACTATGACATTCGAAATCTTATTAAAATCCTTAAATCCATTACATTATTAAATGACATTTAAACACATAATTTAAATAAATAAAGATAAAATATCCACATAAATTTTGTAGACATTTAATCTATTTTTATAACTTTGGCCTCATTCAAAGTGATTCAATGTCTGGAAAAAAGAAAGTTACAGCCGCAAACGGGAAAAAAAAACTTTCAAATTTTCTAGAATGCTGGGAAAATCTTTCAAGATTTTTTTATGAAAATTCAAAAGATGGTCAAATTCAAATTCCTTCCAAAAGTATGAAATAGTAGTAATTATTTTGTTATGCGCTTTACACGTTCTGTGTGTTGGTAAGAAGTTCTTATAATTGAAGGTAGGTAAAAATGTTTCTATAACTTAAATAGGCAATGAAAACATATCTGCTAGAAAAGACCTTAAAGGTGGAGCAGGCATGACTTATATTTTAAAAATGTCATATTTAAAGATTGTTCGTGTACAAAAACATTACAAACATAATGCTATATAAATATTCATTAATTAAGAAATTCAAAGTCAAATTACAAGACAAACAAAATATACGTATAAGAATATTTTTCTTCCTTCTGTCTTTGGTATAAAATGTGTTTACTTTAAAGCAATCTATTAGTTATATAACATTAAGGCATTCAAAAACATATATTATATGTAAACGTATTATATCTATAAATTTTCTTAAAGGCCTTTTTTGCCCCAGAAATGCTTTTATCTTAATCTCTTAAAAGCCTGATATTTGGAGTTCTGTTATAGTTTCCAAAATATTCAACATTGGTCAGTAACCTAAACCATCTTATGCTTTTGTTTCATATTGGCAATGAGTACAGTCAATTTTTTAAACTCATATGTGTCTGTTATAAAGATAAATAATTGGTTTCTGAGACAGAATGTACCTTTACGCTCCCTTCGCAGCTTACTGAATACACTCCCGTTACTTCAGTAAGAAGTGAGCGATAGTGGAACATTCGACCGATGCGCAGGAGAGTAAATGTACCTTATGTTAAAGAAACTTTAAAACATATAACAAGTTTTCTTTTTTACGAATTTGTTTGATGAAATTGTATGATCACAGTTGTTTCTATCCGAAAATACACATCCGAAATTACTTTCAAATCATGATCAGTTGCTTGCTGTTTAATCACATGCAGTAAATTTACAGGACTTAATACTAAAATGTCAATAATTGGAGAGAATAAATGAATACATAATATCATTCAATACTTATATTTAGTATTAATATATTAAATAAACAACAAACCGTCTAACTCAAAATGTTTCGTACAACATGGCGGGTGTCCTGCTATCACGTGATTTGATGCTATGTTTTGATACGATAATTTTGGATTTAGAACAGTATGTTGCATATATCCCATAGGTCATGTGACATTTATCGATGATATGATTAGTCCAGTAAGTTAGAACAGTCTATTTATCAAGACATAGTAAATTTGTGGAGATAGAACAGGATGGTTTCGTTGTAATTTATTTATGAAGCTCTGAAGCACTAATATAACATACCAAGGAGATAGAACAGTCCATTACGGACAAAATTGTGTATTTAACTTGTTTTTGGAAAAATTGGAGATAGAACAATACAGTTTTCAAGCGACGGTATATAACAGTGATTTAAAACATACAGTATAGCAAAAGCAGTCTTGCAAAGTACACTTTTATTTAAGTATCCATATTGGCATTGGTATTATAATATAAACAAATATATTTCTTCTTTTTTGATGTCAGTGTCAGCTGACCTTAAAATAATACACATTTTTAGGATACCACCAATGAAGGCTTTATTATGGGTTTTTATCGGCCCAATGAATATAAGTGATAAATAACCGTGACGTACATTTTACAGAACGAGCATGACACCAACAGACTATTTTTAGATTTATATTTGAACAATTGATTTTTCTCTACAAAACTCCTTTTATTGTTTAAGAATTGTACACAATACTTTCCCATATCTCCTACCACTATTTTTTTAGTTACTGACCCATCAGAGCAGAAACATTAAACAAACCGAAGCGGAGATACTTTGAGGACTATTTCTTTCTTTCTTTTTTGTAGAACGCGGTAGATAAACGTATACAAATTGTACACAAATTATGATAAATATACTATTTTGCAGTGTTTGTAGCACTTTTGTTTGATCTTGGCGCCATTTCCTTGACAATATTTTGACATTTTGACGTAACGGTTTAAAGAAAAATATCCCGTTCTGTCAGTCATTTACTTGATAACTTTTGGTGCCCATTTTAGATATGACGGGAATGAAATAAAATGCAGTAATTTTTTTTCTAAAGAACTATAAATATACTCTATTGCAATGTTCTGGTTAAATATCAAGTTTTTCGATCGGAATATAAATAGTTATTTTTACACATACATTATTAAGCTTATCAACAAACTTAAGGGTTTTTTTTGTAAGCTCCGTAACAACCGTTCGCCAGAGGCTTTTTTAAATGGGAAATCTTACATACTTCTTTAGAAAGAGCAAACATGAATTTTATCATGTTAAAATAATGGTATCAGAGAAATGTAAGATGCTCGTTACCTGAATAAAGTAGCAAAATAAATGTGAAATTATTTGTCATAAAGTAGTCAAAACAATGTAGTATTAGACTTCTATATTAAATACTAATTCACTATAACTGTACTCATCCTTACTGATCAAGACCATTTAAATCCCTATTGATTCTACTATAATTCAGGACACATGTTTTGCGTCTATTTAATACCTTGAAGTTTGTTTACCATTGGATTTGACTACAATATATTATTTAAAACATAATGAAAAATAATTTTTATGACCCCAAAGTGCGGTCGTTTATCTGATGTAAAATAATGCGTATGTACCTGTTTAACGCACTTTGGGGTCAAAATTGGACCCCAGAGTGCGTATCGCACTCTGGGGTTGGACCCCAAAGTGCGTTTGACCCCAAAGTGCGGTATTACACAGCCGCCTAGACACTTAATGTTTTGTGGCCCGATTTTCAAGAATGACCTTAAGGCCTATTTCTGGATTACCTAAAAAAATAAAGAGACAATGGGAGCTAGCTACTTTCTTGTAAAAAGGGCCGAAACTGAATAATCCAAATTCTGTAGTCAGTCAGACATGGTTGAAATCGTTCAACAAGCGAACATAATTTAGTAATCGTTTAAGAATACAAAGTTAGAGAAGTTATGCTTACACTTGCATTGCCCCGTGTTTTCCCTTCAGTGACTAGCAAGTACCCTGAAATAAAATATACACGTACATATGAAACATTCCTGTGTGGGTGTGTCGGATCGTATATGTCACGGACCGAATATGGCACACGTGTGACATGTTCGGTTCCAATCTGTCAGACGTGTGACATATTCGGTCAAATATGGCACACTCTTGAGCCAAATATGGAACATTAAATGTGCCTTATTCGGTTGGATTGAGTTTTTCTATGCTCACCAAAACGTATTTGTCACTCATCAAAAATGAACATAAAAATGAAAATACGAACGTATACGTCACATGAGCATTTTCTTTACTTAAATAAATCCGTTTTGCACAATACTGTTTATTAAAAAAATAACCTTATCACGGAATCGTAAATACCACAAACGCCATTTTCATCACCATCAACAACAGCATTATCATCAACATTATCATCATCACAAGTGTTTGATAAACAAACATTTCACAGAATATTTTAAAAGCGTATAATAAACAAATATTTCATCGAATTTTTAAAAAAATACAAAATAAACAAATATTCACCAAATAAGCGCAAAACATATTTTGTGAGTATCGTACTTCAATATCCCTGTAAACAAGAACATTCGTCTTGCATAAAAATGCTGTTTTTTTATTCTAGCTGCCTGAACAAAAAAAAGAGTCAAGGGCCCTTAACAAATGTACAAGCTATTTGTTTAAACATATTTATTTATGCTCGGTTGCGAAACATGTTTTTGCAACTTATATTAATCACTTTTGAGTCCGCTTCCTGGACCAAAACAGTACTGGTATCAAATTAGGAAGCATAGGCATGACCTGAGCAAGGCTCGAACCCACAATCCTTGGACAAACATCTTAACCATTTGATCACCACTACCCTATGGAGGGCGTTCGTTGCCAATATTCCAGATATGCAAAGTGTTCCTTTTGAAATCTACTTTTGAAAATGCAAACATGTTTGTCTAGCTTTTTTTATTGTATTCGTGCACAGCAAATGATATGCCTCTTAATCCAATCTTTTAATTGAAGGCACCCTCTTTTAAATAACACGTTTACACGTAGATCTTAACAACTGACTAAACATGGAAAACAACAACAAATTTACAAGTTCGTATCTTCCATTGCATACAATACATAAGCACGTTTGCACACTTATCTGATATCTATCTGTACCTGTGATATATTTATAAAAGAAATGAAAAACTCGAATACAGAAAATAGAGTTTAAGAAAATGTGTTTCCATTTGTAGAATACAACAGTACGTTAAAACAGTAGCATGTTTATTAATATGACAAAAGTAGATTCACAAAGTTAAACGATTTTAAGTCATGCATGACGCTCCCTCATCTCTTTTGAGTATTTACGAACTTCTGTTACGGAAATGTACGGACATGTATAAAACCCTCTCTCTCTCCCGTATTTCTCAATAAAGTGAAGAAAATCACGGCTTCCCTTCTAACTTATATTTAAAATAATAATAATAATAATTCTAACTTATATTTAAAAAAAATAATAATAACTAGAACTATCACTAAATGTGATTAATACCCCCACAAGTCTGCTTCGGAAATGAGGATGTTACTAGTAACAGAATACCTTGTAAAAGAATTGAAACATAGAGTTATGGTTGTGGGCAATTAAAGATAATTGTGGTTCATGTATGTTGCATTTCATTTCAATGTGGTTGGCCATTGATGAAGTTAAATTGAATTAATTTGTAATAAGTCCAGAAAGACAAAGTTAAAGAACAAAGGGCAAACACTCTATAAATACTGAAGATACAGTTATTGTTCTTGTGCACTGCACTTCCTCTTATTGTGCTTGACCATTGTATGAAGTTGTTTTGAATTCCAACCAGTACGTTTTAAGTTATGCTCCGGACAAGGAAAAGTATCAAAGGGCAGTAACTCTGTATTTTGTCAAAATGGAGTTATGGTTCTTGTGCACTGCACTTCCCCTTATTGTGCTTGACCATTGTATGAAGTTATAATGAATTCCAACAATAAGTCTCCAAGTTATGGTCCGGACAAAAGAAAGCAATGGAAAAGTAACAAAGGGCAATAACTCTGTAATTAGTCAAGATGGAGTTATGGTTCTTGTGCACTGCACTTCCCCTTATTGTGCTTGACCATTGTATGAAGTTGTTTTGAATTCCAACCAGTAGTTTTAAAGTCATGCTCTGGACAAGGAAAAGAAACAAAGGGCAGTAACTCTGTAATAAGTCAAAATGGAGTTATGGTTCTTGTGCACTGCACTTCCTCTCAATGTGCTTGACCATTGTATGAAGTTATAATGAATTCCAACAATTAGTATTCAAGTTATGGTCCGGACAAAATAAAGCAATGGAAAAGTAATAAAGGGCAATAACTCTGTAATTACTTTAGATAGAGTTATGGTTCTTATGCCCTGCACTTCCTCTCAATGTGCTTGACCATTGTATGTAGTTATATTGAATTCCAACCATTAGTCTTCAAGTTATGTTCCGGACAAAAAAAGAAGGCAATTGAAAAGCAACAAAGGGCAATAACTCTGTAATTACTTTAGATAGAGTTATGGTTCTTGTGCACTGCACTTCCCCTTATTGTGTTTGACAATTGTATGAAGTTGTTTTGAATTCCAACCAGTAGTTTTCAAGTTATGCCACGGACAAGGAAAAGTAATAAAGGGCAATAACTCTGTAATTAGTCAAGATAGAGTTATGTTTCTTACGCACTGCGCTTCCTCTCAATGTGCCTGACCATTGTATGTAGTTATATTGAATTCCAACCAGTAGTCTTCAAGTTATGCTCCGGACAAGGAAAATGCAACGGACAAAAAAAAAGCAATGGAAAAGTAACAAAGGGCAATAACTCTGTAATTACTTTAGATAGAGTTATGGTTCTTGTGCACTGCACTTCCCCTTATTGTGTTTGACAATTGTATGAAGTTGTTTTGAATTCCAACCAGTAGTTTTCAAGTTATGCCCCGGACAAGGAAAAGTAACAAAGGGCAATAACTCTGTAATTAGTCAAGATAGAGTTATGGCTCTTGTGCACTGCACTTCCTCTCAATGTGCTTGACCATTGTATGTAGTTATATTGAATTCCAACCATTAGTTTTTCAAGTTATGCTCCGGACAAAGAAAATGCAACGGACGTCTGGACCGACCGACCGACCGACCGACCGACCGACCGCCCGTCCGACCAACCGACCGACCGACCGACCACCGGGTGACTCCTATATACCCCCCCCCCCCAAACTTCGTTTTTGGGGGTATAATAATTTTGGTATCACAAATAAAAATTAATTAGGTAAAAATATTAAAAATTTTCTTTCAAACTTCTCGTTGTTTAGTTTTTTCCCTCTATCTGAAAAAATCACACATATTCGGCAAGAAAATCACGGTGCACCGGGTTTAGACCTCTCCGAAATAGAAGTTCGTAAAAACTCAAAGAGGGGCATGGCGTCATGCATGACTTAAATCGTTTAACTTTGTGAATCTTCTTTTTTCAAATTATTCCATTGTGCGTGTGTTTGTTTAATTGCATTATTTGATTGTGAAACTTTGTTAAATAATAACATCACTGTTCTGAAGTGGTGCGACCGGTAGACCGTTGAGTTTTTGTTTTTTTTTTTTTTGTTTTTTTTTGTTTTGTTGTTTTTTTTATGATATTGTTACTTATTTTGAACAAAAACAATTTTCTCAACGCATCTTGTTAAATTAATTTGTCTGGTCAATACTTTATTATATCTTAATATCTTTATATTTCGCTACGATTCTACTAGATTTATCGATGTGGGGAAATGACATCATGCGCATCTGTTTTATACGGCCAATACACACAAATGTTGCCGCGCCTACTGATTTGTAGAAATCGGTGATTTAGCGATTTAAATTTTGTATCATTCGTTTAATATTATTATTTGAAAGCAGAAAATTTGCAGATTTACTATTGATAGTATTCTGTTTCTGATATCAAGTTTTGATTCTAACATTGCCTTTCCCTTTAAACTTGTTACTGTGAAATGCTTGTTAAAGTATGTCAAACAACTTCAACGCGTTCAATCGTCATTTCGAAAATGGCCATGATTGTTTTAGGCAAAACATAACTTTTTAAGGAGCAAGTTATAAATTCGGAGTGAACAGAACGCCAATCATACTATCTCCGCTGTAAAATTTCACATCTGGTTTGCAGCGTGAAGAAAATGATTTATGAAAATGTTCAAAAATCGTGTTTTCGTGATTAAAAAGTTTTGATGTTGCTCATATCTAAGTCACGGCGTAAAATAATAAATTTTATTTAGTGGTATAACGCCATTTGTAAAGAATATGTCAAAATCGCGCTTTGTGCGCGTAAGATAGACTTACAAGTTTCATGACCATGCCTCTAGTTCAAATACTGTTGATGCTACACACGACACAAGTTGACTGTTTCCTATTTGACAAAGTCAAGGGCAATAACTCTGGAATGACTGCCCGAATCAACGTTCGACCCCTAACTAAATTATTTATGGGGCAACACTAAAGACGCACGTACTCAGGCACAGGCGTACGGACAATTAAATCGTTTAAATCCAGCCCCCTCCGTCCCCTCCCCCTCAGAGCGGGGGCATGAAAAGTCAATACATGTATTTTATCTTCAAGTCGATAAATATTAATGTCCAAAATATTTCGAACATATTTTCACAAAGCCAGTCACTGTGTATTGACACAGTGTCATCTTACTGGTAAAATGATAAACAAGGCGGCATGGTTTTAAACAAATATATTACAAACTTACGATGACGATGATGATGTATCATTGGTGATAATGATGATGATGTTGTTGATGATGATGATGATGTATTATTAACGTTGTTGAAGCTAGGTTAAAACGGTTATGATAATGTTAGTTTACTGTGTAAAATGTTTGACATATACGGTCAGGCATTTACTTCCAAATTTCAGAAACGTATATGGCACATAAATTAAAAACATCTGTTATTAATTCGGCCGAATATGTCCCACTCGTGTGACATATACGTTCCGTGACATATACGGTCCGACATGGGTATACCGAAATTCCGGAAAATCACCTTAATTATATTGACATGTAAATAGCAAATATGAATTGTTATTCTTATTCTATCTCATTTTTAAAAGCGTATTCTATGGGCATAGACATTTAGCGGAATAAAACTATAAAATAAGATAATGTAAGTTATCATTTGTATATGTGCTGTGAACTTGGTTGAAATAAACTATATTTTAACAAAAAAGCGCATATATGTTTAAACGGAAATGCGCACAACGGAACTACAATTAATGCATGGTTGATTGAAAAAGATATGTTTAAACGAAATTGCGCACAACGGAAATAACAATTTACGCATGGTTGATTGAAGGAAATTTGTTGAAAAGAAAATGCGCACAACGGAAGTTACAATTTACGCATGGTTGATTGAAGAAAATATGTTTTTAAGAAAATGCGCACAACGGAAGTTACAGTTTACGCATGGTTGATTAAAGAAAAGTTTTCAACCGTTTCTTGAATGAACTAGAAGTGCCACTGTCATGGCGTGAATACCCCCGCATATCACTTTGTCAGGATCAACAGTGGCCATTTAGAACTAAGGACAACCACTCTGCCAAATCTGAGGTTACTAAGCTAGTGCATTGCTAAGATATGTATTATCCATGCTTCAAATGTGAAAATCATGTTTTTTTAGTCAAGGCCTCTGTGACCTTGACCTTTGACCCAGTGACCTCAAAATCAATAGGGGTCATTTACTAATCATGACTTACCTCCATGCCAAATATGAAGACTGTGGGTCAAAGGAATTTCAAGTTATTGGGCAGGCAAGCTTTTTTTTAAATCAAGGCCCCTGTGACCTTGCACTTTGACCAAGTGACCTCAAAACCAATAGGAATCTACTAATCATGACTAAACTCCATGCCAAATATGAAGACTGTGGGTCAAAGGAATCTCAAGTTTTTGGGCTGACAAGCTTTTTAAAGTCAATTCGCCTGTGACCTTTACCGTTGAACCAGTGACCCCAAAATCACTAGGGGCCATCTACTAATCATGACTAACCTCCATGCCAAATGTGAAGATGGTGGGCCAAAGGAATCTCAAGTTATTGGGCTGACAAGGAAAAACCGACGGACGGACGGGGAGACGTCCGGACAGACGGACAAGCTGATTCCAGTATACCCCCCCCCCCCCTTACAACTTCGTTGTGCGGGGGTATAATCATAATAAGAATGAAATCTTCAAAACACGTACAAATGTTTAACAGTCTGGTATGACAGATATGGATTTTAATTAAATCTGCCTGTAATAGCCTGCAAAATGACATATTTATTAAATAAATAAATAAATAAATAAATACATAAATAAATATTAAGTTTTGTTTGTTTGTTTGTTTGTTTGTTTTGGGTTTTTACGTCACATCGACACAGTATAGGTCATATCGCGACGTTCCAGCTTTACTGGTGGAGGAAGACCTCAGGTGCCCTTCCGTGCATTATTTCAGGCACGAACGGGCACCTGAGTAGAACCACCGACGTTCCGTAAGCTAGCTGGATAGCTTCCTCACATGAAAGAATCCAAAGTCCCTGTCGGGATTCGAACCCACAGCGGTGAGGGGCAAGTGGTTTGAAGTCAACGACCTTAACCACTCTGCCATGCATGCCCCCAAATAAGTAAGTGTGCACCCCTATAATTAAGTAAGAAATAATTTGGACCAAAAGTCAACGAACAATTTCTAATTCCAATAACCGTTTTTATCACGATACGATGTCAGCATTAACTCAACTTATAGAATACAACTACAAGTTCTAGAAATATCAAACTTATTCTTCCTTACACTAAGTAACTTAAATCTAATAATTACTTACTTTGCTTAAAGTGGTACTTCATTCCATCCAGAGATGGGGCGGATGAATTGGTAAGAAATTTGTGATTGCACCCTACACAGTGCATATTAGCTTCGTCGTGGAACACGCCAAAACACGACGAGCTATCAGCACAAGTTGTCAGGCACTGCATTTTATTCAACTTATTTTCCTCAAAATCCTTTTTCATTGTGGGACAAGTAAACCCTTCCAAATCGGCATTTTTTGCAAACTTTATGTTTTTACTGGCTATAAGTATAACAAAGCCTTCGAAAACAAATACACAGATACTAAAGCAATGTTTCTTCATGTTGCCTTTGCACAAACTATCAAGTAATTACCAGCAATGCGATGTGTATGTGTGCATGAAGTCCTTTAGTTGATAAAATTTGACAAGAGGGTCATTATGGCGCTGAATCTTTCACCCGACATTGCTAGAAAGGATAAAGCCAGTAATGAAGACATTGGGTTTGTCATTTTTTTCTGCAGACTAAATAATTGTAAAATAAGTGATCCCCAGGGAGTTGTCATTTTTAACCAAAGGGGCATGACATATACAACATTTGTAGCTGTCTACTTGGCAATGCTACATGCTAAATTTTTTAGGTCTTGGAAGTGTTTTTTTTCACAAAAGAAGACTTAAAGGTAATTCCCTAAACAAGTCAAAATGAATTAAGTAACACCGGGACAGGGCCAATTTTGACCCAAGGGGCATGATTTATATAGCCTTAGTAGAACACCTCAAAGTGATTCTACAAGCAAAATATCTGATATTGGCATTGTCATTTCAAATAAGAAAATTTTCAGACAGTTTTACTTAACAAGTCTATGTAAAATAAGTTACACCCAGAACGCGTCAAATTTTGACCCCAGGGGCATTACTAATGCAATCTTTGTAGAGATCCACTAGGCAATGCTACTTTCTAAATATCTAAGCTATTGACATTGTATTTTCAAAAAGAAGACTTACAAGCATTTCCTTTACAAGTCTATTTTAACTAAGAGACCTCCAGAGCGGGACCATTTTAACCGAAAGGGCATGATTAATATAACTTTTGTACAGGAACACAAGGTGATGATTCATGTAAAATATCTAAGCTCTTGGAATTTTCATTCAGAGAGAAGATATTTGAGACAATATATTTATTATACAAGTCTTTGCAAAAATGTGACCCTAAGACGGGGCCATTTTTTACCCCAGGGGCAAGATCTTTATTGTACATGACCATAAGGTGATGCTACATGCCAAATATCTATATTCTTGGCATTGTAGTTTCTGAGAGGACCAACTAATGATCATTCCTGTAAAGTTTGACTAAATTCCATCAAGTGGTTGTGGACAACGACGGACAACGAACGACGGACACACTACCAACCAAAAAGCTCACTTCTGAGATAGTTGTGCTCGGGTGAGCTAATAAAACGCGCCATTAATGCAAATTTTCAATTAAGTGCTTGACTAAATGAAGAGATATTTGCAATCATTCTTCTAATCATGAAATGTTTGATTTATTATTAGTTTCATAATTTCATATGAATATTTTAGAAACTCTCTACAGACCAAATCAAATATGTTTTGAGCAGCTCAATCTGGGCAATCTGTAAACAATTTATAACATATTGGTTTCTTTTTTTTTTACCGAACTATAACAATTTGTCTTGCTATTGTCACGACGCAAAATGCCACTCTATACGAATCTTATATATTTGTGAAATACGATCAAAACATAACAATGGTGTGACAAATATTTAATGAGCATAACAAAAATGAGCGGCAAATTGCAGATAGTACATCATCATTTACAAAAATACTAGTAATCAAACCCCCTGCAAGGTATATTGTTCAGACTTTGTAATGGATGCGCATTAAATTTTATTTCAACCGGCCTTTACACGATACATTTGAATTGCAAAACCACTAGGAAACCAATTTAACATTTGATGCGGAAAAATCATGAAAATAGTTGTATAATAATGTGAAGCATGTCAAGAGAAAAAAAATGAGTATGGAACAGAGCTTTGGAAAGTTAAATCTGTGTTTTAAAGCATTACACATCATATTTCATTTGGAATAAAAAAAATCTGAAAACAAATGAGCCGCGCCATGACAAAACAAAGCACATTGTAACAAACATTGACGAAATGATAAAACAAATTCCTTTCATTACAAAATAATATTTCAACCGCGCCATGACAAAAACAAACATAGTGCTATCAGTTTCTCTACGTGTAAAAGGATTTTGTACGCGAACAGAATTAAGCCTGGCGCAGACTGGTCTGGATCCATGCTGGTCGCAGACGCACTATGATTGTTTTTGTCATGGCGTGGCTCAAATGTTATTTTGTAATGAAACCTTGGACTTTGTGTTATCATTCCGGCAATATTTTATTTGTGACAATTATCTTTTTGTCTAGTACATTTGTATTTTAACGTTTCACTTAAAAAGCACACTAACGACTACGTTACAAATCATACTGATTCACTACATAGTAGTATATCTGATGATGAAAGAGGTAACAAACTAACAATAGGTTACTTGAAGTAGCAATAGAAAACCCGGTTTTAAAATACTTTGGGAAAGTCTTTGAAAAAAAAGGGAAAAATGAAAGCAAAAAACAAGCAACAAAAAAAAACAACAAAAAATCATAAAGCAGCTGTCTGCAGCGGCACAACGTTGGACATGGCCATGAGAAACAATACAAGACCGCATGCCAATATATGGGACAAAATGTCATTGGAAATCGATGCAAAATCATAGACTTCAACGACTGACATGCCTACCAGTGGTAAATTTACAAATTCAGATAAATTGACCATTCTTCTTACAGTGAACGACGGTTTCTAACTGGTGGTGGCAATTAGCAAACTAAATATGAATGTGTATGTTACAATTATAGCTGAGGATGACATCGTGTTTGATAAACTTAAGAAACAATACACGATGATACCAGTAGCTATATCAAGGAGCTGGATTTTAAACATGTCTTCAGTCTGTATGATAACATGCTAAGTTAAAAGACGAGGTTGTCAAACATACATTATCAAATGTCTTGAACAATCAATACATGTTTTATATGTAGACATATATGCATAGTTTCTTAAAAGTCTGTTTAATATTTAATAGGTTTGATATTCGAGCACAGTCGGAAAATAAATCAGCTATCATCTGCAGTGGACATACGACAATAAGAAGTAAACAGAAAACATTGAAGTAAATGAAACAGTGGTATTCAAAATTAAACCTGTCCGCTTTAAATCATGTCCTAAATAAATCAAACCTTAGAATTAATAGTTTAAGTGGAAAAAAAATCCCGGGGACCTGAATTTTCTGACATGTCATAGAAGCAAAGGTCTTAAGTAGTTGTACACCACTCAACATACTGTTTTGGACATGACCCTAAATATAAATGCTTCAAGAAATGGAAACTGTGGGGGTTTCACCTAAGAGGTTAATGGTAGGTAAAGATACAAAAAACGCATTAAGTCTTCCGGCTTTGTATTAATGTTGTCATCTAAACAGTTTTAAAGAGAATTCTATATTAGATTGATGAAAAATCTTTAATTAAACTTTCAGTTAGTGAACTAAAACTCTACAACGACCCATGAAGACCGGTGCTGCCTTGTGTGGATACCTTATATTATACTAAAATGTTGAAAAATTTATAATTTAAAGAACAATTCAAACACCATCCGATACACAAAATACCAAAAAGAAAACACCATGAAATCGGTAATATGCATTTTTGCATTAAAAGGGGTAGGTATTAAGCTATAATTGATGATGAACATTTCCAAAACTTTTCATTTATATTGTTTTCATATTCTCAAAGTCATGCATGGAAAGGATTTTGCAAAAGTGTTTCTATTATTGTAAGCATATTAATTATATATAAAACAGAATCTAAAATATAACTAAAAGAATGGAATTTACTATAATTATATTTATCAAGATTATTACCTGACGCGAATGGACAGTGATTAGTCCCCGCTCTCTCTTCGAATCAACAATTTCAGGGTAGTACATTTCAGCGAAAATAAATAAACACCTCTCGCCCTAATTGTCAGCTTAATTGTTACATTAGAAAGTATGTATATTTTTAAATAAACTTGTATTTTTTCAGAAAATATGTAAATCTAATCTTGTTATAATCATATTCATCGTTTTAAAGATTGTTAAATTGTGAAATAATTTTGAAAAGTTCATTTGGTTATTCCAAAAATATGTATTTGTTTGATTGGGTTTTACGTCACACCGACACAGATTATATCATATGGCGATGTTCCAGCTTTACTGGTGGAGGAAGTTTGTGCATTATTTCAGGCACGAACTGGCACACAATGTTCGGTCAGCAAGCTGGATATCTTCCTCATAATTATGAAAGAATTCAAAGTCCCTGTTGGGATTCAAACCCACAGTGGTGAGGTGCAAGTGGTTTGAAGTAAACGACTTTAACCACTCGTCCACGGACGCCCCCCCCCCCCAAAAAAAAAAAAGTCATTAATGCAAATATATGTATTATCAATATAATCTATATCTCAACAAACAAAGGACAGAAATGTAAAATAGTTCCGATTATAAATCATTATTGAACGGGCTTTAAATACGAGTACAATATTAGACACCGAATGCACTTAAGTAAAATGGATATTAGATCTACACTGAAAGTTTCATTAAATGTTAAATATATACCTCGCATTGACAATAAACGGAACAATACACATGAAGAAGGTAAAATTCCTGAGGAACTCATCATCTCGTAACAAAATTATTCACGCTCCCCTAAATGCAAAAATAAAGACTAAAGACAACATCACGTAAGTAAGAGTCAAGCAAAATTGACCACACAGTAAATTAATTGGTCAATGCATATGAAGATTAAAAGTATCACCGAACATTTTGGAGGATCACCGACAGCAAACTGTCTTGCAAAATTCATTGTTTATTATTTAGATGCATAGCATATAACGAACTGTATTGTTCGTTTCGCCATATAAAATATTGGTATTTATTTTGGTGCCATAACCTTGCCACATGAGGAATTGTATGATTCCCAATATATGCTTCTTATAATTCAGGTTCAGGCCGATTCTTAATGCGAAATACCGATGATTGTATGGGGTTTTTAAAAACATGTTTGTGAAATCATCACGTGATGGGCATTTTTTAAATCAACCTATGTTATTTTTAACATTAACTCAACTATTGATTTTTACATTATTAATCATTTTTGTTACAAAACACTAAAATTAACTTTAATTGTTTCGGTCACGAGTATGAACTACAGTGTGAAATCTAACTCGGTTCCAGTTTTACTATTAAAGTCTCCGTTTAACATAATTTTGTTTCTTCATAGTTTTC